CAGGCCCTGCGCCTCGGGCAAAGGGCTAAGGTCCTGCTGCAGGCAGGGGGGATCGGCGTGGGCACCATCCGGTACCTGGGGGTCTTCCCCGAGCAGAACGAGTTCTCTGTGGGAGTGGAGCTGGAAGCCCCGGAGCAGGGGGCACCTGATGGCGCCCTGGTGGGACACTGCTGCTTCCCCTGGTGGGTCCTTCTTCTCCTGGGCCGTGTGGGGTGCAGTCGCTGGGTCGCTCGTGGGGCTGGCAGCACCCAGAGGAGACGCTCACAGGTGGGGGAGGGGAGGCCTTCCTTGGGAACGACAGAAACAGCGTGCAGCCCCGTGCCCCAACCCTGCTGAGGGAACGCGGGTGTGAGCAGCAGCTGGGGAAGGGGAGGGCGGCGCTGGAGAGCAGCCCTGAGGCACGGTGCCTGGTCCCGCTGCAGACGTCCCAGGTGGGGAAGGAGAGCGTGCCGAGGTCTCTGCTGCCCTCCGTGGCCTGGAGCCCCCCAGCTAGAGGCTGAGGCAGTCCTGAGGGGGGGCCACGCACTAAGCATTATGGCTGGGAGCCGCACTCCCCTCAGCCCCAGCAGCAGCTTCATGCGCCGCGTCTCTGTGGTTTTTATCGCTGCAGCCAACCCGGCCGTGGAGTGTTCGTGCCCTTCCGCAAAGTGCTGATGGTCTGGGACTAGGCCCACGCCCTCAGCATGGTGCTGGGCGCCACACGTGCGTGGGGAAAGAGGAAACGGCCTTTGCCCAGGCCTGGGGCCATAAGAGGGGCCAGGAGGAAGAGCCCAGCGTGACTGAGCAGCAGCGAGACCCCGTGTGCAAGGGGCAGGAGCAGCGCAGGAAGCCAGACCCATGGCTGGGTCTGTTCCACCAGCAGACGCTCATCCTGGGAGCTCGGGGGCTGTCACTGCTAGGGGGCCACACCAGGCTGGGGCAGGGGAGCCTGGACAGGGGCCAGTGCCTTGTGCGGATCCCACTGCCCTCTCCTCCCAGCATGCTTGGGCTAGAGCTGAGGGGAAGGATCAGTCTCCTGCCCAGACAGGTTCTCTCTCTCACGGGACCCTGGTCGCGAAGCAGGGGAGGCAGTGGCAGCAGGGTGGAGTGACTGGGTTTGCATCCAGCCCGGCCTCAGTACAGCCGCCCCCGTTTTCTGCCTCCCTCCGGGTGCGCATTGCTGGCGGGGAGCGGACAGGGAGCATGCCGACAGCCTAGCGCACGCAGCCCGGCTGCACAGCTCGTGGGCCCTGTTCGAGGCTGGGCCCCCAGCGCCACCGTATGCCTGACTCGCCATCCAGCCCTTCGCCCGTCTCCTTCAGCCGACCGCTGCTCTCGCTCCTCCCGGGCGTGCTGCGGCGGGCCGGGCCAGCCATGCCCCGATGGAGCGACGCATGCGGGGAGCCCACAGTCTCCACAAGGGGCAGGGCTGGTAAACAGGAGGAGGCCGGCAGCTTCGTGTGGCTCCTGGGCCCGTTCCACACAGCTCCCAGCTGAGCCACCTCGGCTGCCTCAGGGGACTGCTCTCCCAGGTGCAGCTTGTCTCAGTATAAGGGCTCTCGGCACCCTTCCCCGCCCTGCTCCCCTGCCCCAGTTCAGGTGGCACTAACACCCTGTGGCCATGTCAAAGGTCTGGGACTGGCACCTGGGGCCCCCCCCGCGTGGCCCTCAAGCTGTGGGCACCGCGTTCCCTGAAAGGCTGGCAAAGCCGGCCCCGCCAGCTGGCAGAGCCTGCGGATGGTGCCTGCCTCCCCCCAGGTCATTTGGAAACAGCCCCCCAGGCTTGACGACGCCCCGGTTCCTTTCCAATGAGGCTCCTGTGGGCCCCACCCCTGCCCCGAGTCCACTCTCACTGCAGGATCCTAGGTCCTTTAGTTTGCCTGGGGTCTGGGGGGAGGGAGGGCATAACACCCCTGGGGCTGGCTCTGTGCCCCACCTGCCCGACTTTGGTGCCCCAGGCCTTGGTGAAAAGGCAAGACAAGCTATGGCTTGCTGGCAGCTGGCTCTGGCAGGCTGGGCTGATTCACAGCAGGGCAGGATGTGTCTTGCCCACCAGCTGCCGGGAAGCCAAACCAGCCACGAAGAAGGGGAGTCAGGAAGCAGTGTCTGGGAGCAACTAGGCCAGGGTGAATCGGGATTGCAGGTGGGAGAGAGCCAGAGACGTGCTGGGCTGAGCCCTGCTCAAAGGTCAGCACTGGCCCCAGTTCCCGACTGCCTGGCAGGAGGCAAGCAGACCCAGGCTCATCTGTCCTGCCAGGCACCTGGGGCTGGCCTGGCCTCCCTCCCAGAGAGCCAAGCGGCCTGGGCCAACGCGAAGGGCAGGCTCAGCCCCACAGGCAGGCCCCTCAGCCAGGCTGCAGCAGGGAGTAGACACCTGCCCCTTGGGAGCCCTGCAGGGTGGCTGGTGGGACCCTGCTTTATTGGTTTTGAATGGCTCTGATGCCTGAATTTGCTACAGGAGCCCTGCCCACATAACTTCCCCCTCAGCCTTACTGGGCCGGCTCTATGAACCTGGAACCCTTGGAAGGCCCTGGGCTCCATTCAAATGAGTTCTGGCCTCAGAGCCTTGTCTGCCCGGCTCACGGGGTGGCTCCCAGGCATCTGGTGCTGTGGGGAAAAAGAAGCGAAACCCCAAGGGCTGTGTCTAGACTGGCAAGTTTTTCTGCAAAAGCGCCCGCTTTTGTGCAAAAACTTGCCAGCTGTCTACACTGGCCGCTTGATTTTGCGCAAAAGCACTGACGTTCCACTGTCCGACATCAGTGCTTCTTTGCGCAAATGCTTTGACGTTCCCGTTCGGGCAAAAGCCCTTTTCCGGAAATGTTTTTGCGCAAGAGGGCCAGTGCAGACAGCTAAAAACCGTTTTGCGCAAAAAAGCCCCGATGGCGAAAATGGCGATGGGGGCTTTCTTGTGCAAAACCGCGTCTAGATCGGCACGGACGCTTTTCTGCAAAAAGCACTTTTGCGGAAAAGCGTCCATGCCAATCTAGACGTACATTTCCGCAAATGCCTTTAATGGAAAAACTTTTCCATTAAAAGCATTTGTGGAAAATCCTGCCAGTCTAGACGTAGCCAAGGAGCTGGGAGAGAAGCCCAAGGGGCAGAGCAGGCAGGAGCCTAACTCCTGTGAATGGCTAGTGCCCGTGGCAAAGCGCTGGCTCCCCACAAGCACGGGGTGGATCCAAGGGACCCTGCTGGACCCCACATTCCCCCAAGGGGAGCAGCACAACAGCCTGGGGCCAGGCAGGCACCAGGCCTCGCTGGCCTCCCATCCCAGCGGTGACCCGGCCCAGCCCTGGCACAGCACAGTGACGAGATGCAGGCCCTGGCCTTGCAGTGCTCTGAGTCCATCCGTTTTATCACTGGGTGGTTTCTCCTCAGGCTGCTTCCTGCTACCCAGCCCTTTCCCGGTAGTTATCAGGGTGCAGCAAAAAGTCATAAATCGGCCTAGCCCAGGGCAGGGGCGGCGCTGGCACGGCAGCTGCACCAGGAGTGACAGATCACCTGCCGCGGCCCTACCTGCTTCATGCCCTGCAACGTGGGCAATGGCACCAGGTCCGCAGCCCCGCTGCTGCCTTTGACGCGGCGCCGAGAGAGCAGCACCTCCCAGCAGCGGGACACCTTCGAGCTCGCCTCCTTCCCGCAACGCGCAGGCTCCCAGCGCGCTCAGGGGTGAGGGCTGCAGCCAGACGCCGGCTCCTCCTGCTTCTGGGCTCATGCACTCCGCCCTCCTGCCCCCGTCCCCGAGAGCCAAGCCCGGGGGGAGGTGTGCGGACACTGGCTGCAACCGCCAAACACCCGCCAAACCCTCGTCCTCCTGCACGTCCTGGCCACACCCTGACACCGGCAGCCACCAAACAGGGTAGAAAACTTCTAAGAGACTGTGCTCCAGCCGCATCATCAAGTACCCCTCATCCCTGCCCTGCGCCCCAGGCTGCCCCCAGCACCGGCCACAGCATGCACTCCCTTTGCCGTTGCTTGCCAAAGGAGGCTGCCAGGACACCAGGCGCGGAACTCCGCTGGGCGGGACGGACACAGAACCCGTACTACGGGCACTGAGAGCAACCTCCCTGCGCAGAGGGAGGGGCTAAGGTGACCAGCTGTCCCAATTGTATAAGGACAGTCCCAGGGTTTGGGACGTTGTGGCACCAGCGACCCTCCCCCTCTCCCTGCCTCCCCCCCCCCCCCCCCCCACTC